GAGCTGTCCTTGAAAGGGCAGTTATTGAAAGAGCTCTCTCAGCCCCACCTACCTCACAGGGTGTCTGTTGTGGGAAGGGGAAGGGAAAGGAGTTTGTAAACTACTCTGAGACTCTGAGTGAATGGTGGGGTATAAATCCAATCTCCTCCTCCTCCTCCTCCTCCTCCTCTTCTTCTTCCTTATCAACCACAACAAAATGGTCAGAGTTCAATTTTCATCTTCGCCATTGTCAAGAAATACTCTTCTGTTTTTTAAAAAATACACTTTATATTGTTTTTTGTTGTTGCTGCTGTGTGCTCCTGGAAGCAGATGAACATATTGCTGTCAAGACAGACCTCTTCTACCTAAGGGGGGACTGTGTGAACAAGCCAAAGGACTCTTGGCTGCAACACTGCCCTGTGAACATGCCATCCTCCTGGCCTACTTACTCAGAGTAAACAGCTCTGCATTCTTTCCCCAGCTCATTAGCCCTGAGCTGCAAGTAGTAAGTCTGCCAGTCACAATAATGCAACTTAGCTGGTGCTTACTACCAGGGGAATACCTGTCCACTGTATAATAGACCAATACCACCATATTCATTTCACTGAGCCAGTATACAAGCTTTGTTAAAGTGTCAACGTGTCAGAGAAATCAATGGCAATTTTATCAGTGCCTATCTATCTGAAGAGATGCCATTTTAAACTCAAAAACAATTCTGAAGAGTAAACACATTTCACAGGTTTAAAGAGCAGGCTATCTATAAACTGAGTATCGATGTATGAATTGCAATCCGGTATTCAGGCAACCAGGCGTTGCACCTCATACCAGTGCTGAAGACAGTGTCTTTAAATATTCCCACCACTTTCAAACCAGATAATAAAAATGGATATCTGGTTATAATGTTGGGTCTTGGACAGCAAAATATCAATCTTGCCAAGGCAATCACTGGGACACATTCAAAAGTTACTCGTATTGTGTTGCTGGGGGGGAAATGACCTGTTTTATTGCAGGGTCTACTTGCAGTGCAATCCTAACCAGAGTTAGTCCATTGAAGTCCATTGAAATTGATCATTTTAGAAGGGTGCAATTCTGCTTAGGATTGCATGGTTACTGTATTTGAATCAAAAGAAAGCTACCTGTCTTAAGTGGTTTGTCATGCCATTGTATGCTTCTTTCATGGTTCTGAAGGATTATATTTAGGTTACTTTTTGATTTCAACAATTATCAGCTTTCTTGCTGCCACTCATTGCTGAAATGGGAAAATAAGCATAAGGAGCTGATAGCCCTGTCTGAACTACAGGTTACAGTGGTGCACCAGCACCATGGCTGTGTTCAAGTATAAATAACAGAGGAGTGTTCAATGGAACACCATTGTTTATGGAACCCCCAAAATTCATTAGGCATCTCAGACAGTTGTCATGATCCAGCATAGAATGAAGCGCAGAAAATAAACCTACACGTGCCAAACTCTGTGCTAAATTGCGACAAATGTGTGCAGAGGGGAAATCTCAGTGGTTTTAAACCAAGGACAGAATAATTTATGATAAGAACATAAGAGAAGCCAATGTTGGATCAGGCCAATGGCCCATCCAGTCTAACACTCTGTCACACAGTGGCCAAAAATATCAGGTGCCATCAGGAGGTCCAGCAGTGGGGCCAGGACACTAGAAGACCGCCCACTGTTGCCCCCTCAAGCATCACTTGCCCCAGACTGAGAGCTCCTATCTATACCTTGTGGCTAATAGCCACTGATGGACCACGGCATCATTTAATTTTGTTTAATTCTAATAGGTCAGGACTGAGGATCAGGATGACTTACAACAAAAAAACCCAGGCTTTGGCTAGAGATGCCCTGGCTCCCATCAGCTGCTTTCTCCTGCATATTTCCTATGCCCTGTTCAAACTCAGAAACAATTCATGTTTTTAATTGGCAGCCATAATGTGAATAAATGCTCTCAGATGATGTGTGTGTGTGTATGTGTGTTAATGTACATTAATTCCCATTATGTGTAACCTGTCTTTAAGAACAAGTCTGAACATCTTTCTTCAGCCTTCATTGCTCCTGTTTCTATTCAAGAAGGCTGGTGGAATCTGCACTGACTTACTTTTAAAGTCTAGTGTTGACCTCACTTAATGCCACCACGTCTAAGACCTGTGCAGGATTTATCAACCCAGCACACAGTTAAGCTGCTTAACTCCCATTGACTTCCGTGAGAGTTCTAGCATCCTGTGTGCAGGATTGCAGCCAAACTTGATAAATATATCTCACTGGTGCTTTGAAACAAGTCCGTATTTCCTTGTTGAAACTCACAGAAAATTTTAACATCCTAGCATATGCATGTGAATGCCACAGATGGTATGCGTCCCTCCTAAGGTGCCTTTCAGCGCCATCCTAAGCAGAGTTATACATTTCTAAATCCACTGGCTTCAAGGGGCTTTGAAGGGTGTAACTCTGCTTAGGATGGCATTGTTGGTCACCCAGGGCTCACGCTTGAGCTGTTCTTGCCAGATGCTTTCTGCTTTTGCTTGGGCACTTCCTGCCCACACCAAGCTAATTAATTAATTTGCCAGAACCAGAACCTCTGATTTTGCTTGCCTCTACAAGCCTCTCCTATGTGGGCTGAATGGCCTGATGTGAAATACCATGTCCCACTTGTGGCAAATGAGTCACATGAACTACTATGCGCAGAAGAGAGAAGCTGTGAGCAGATGGTTGGTAGTACCAAATCCAGCAACCTGAAAAGTCTTGCTTGCATGCAAAAATTTGATCAGCACTACTGCTCCATAAATATAGCATTGCAGAACCTCTAGTTAAGAAATCAGTAAAAACCAACCCCACTCTTAAATATATGTTAGCATCAAGGAACATAAAACTGTTGTTCAGAGCTAATTTAGTGCTGGACATATTTGAAAGTGAAAGATCCCTTTTCTCCATTTTCTGCCAAATGCAATCTCGGCATCCTTGGCTCCTTCCATTTGCAGTTTTTGTTTTCAAGTACAATCAGACAATCAAAGGATGTGTGCTCTTAATTTTAGAAGTCTCATTTTAGAAATCAGTGCCTGGGTGGGAGGCCTGCTGGAATCATACATACACTCCCTTGAGTTTTCAAAAGAAGAGAGACAGGATCTAAAGGTAATAAACAAGATTGGTCTGCTCATTTATTTCTGCTAAGAACAATGATTTCCAAACCATTTTTAAAATCTGCTTTCTTCTCAAGGGGTCAGAACATGAACAACACTCTTTTGCTGTAAGACCAGATGTTGAGAACTAATCAGAACAAGGATATTCTGGCTTGAACATACTAATAAAAGCCTCAGTACTCCTCAGTTGCAAAACCATACCATTTCTCTTCCGGTTTCTCATTTTCCCTGACTCTTGGGACAGCTTTAAATGTGCATTTACTGCCCATTAATATACACTGTCTGCTCATTACTCATAAGTACACAAGCACATGTCCAAAGAGAAGATCTTTCCTTAAAGGTACATTCAAGATCTCGCCACATGGTCTGACAAAATCACATAGTGCAGCCCTTCAGTGCTACTTCAGATGACTTCCTCATATGAAAAGCTCTTTGTGCATGGAAAAACAGGAAGAAAGCTAGACTAGAATTCTCTTCTCATGCTATTGCGGTGGGGCATTCAAACCTTGAGATTCCCCTCCCATTCAAATTGCAAAAGATGCACTATGCCTTTCTCTTGATTGTGAAACTTAGTTCTCAAAAGCAGTCCTCTTTTCAGGGAAGCATGGTCTTTGAGATGCTGGAAACACAGATGGTAGGGAGTACCACGCATACAACCCTCCGCAGTCTGTGATATGCTAAATGTATTGCATTGACCGAAAATGGGGACAGTGCCCCCCAATTTCAGCCATGACTTCAGAATGCCCAGCTGGTTTCCGAGAAACTTCTTAGCTGCCTCGAACATTTTCCTCCTTCCATGACCATTCCTGCACGGCTGTGCAAACACAGGTAGAGGCTCAAGATGGTGCCTCAGTGCTTAACTGACCACAAAACCACCTTGTCAGATTCGTTGTGTCTCTTCTGTTGGTGACTGCACCGAACTAAATCAATGAAGAAGTTTTATAATAAAAGATTCCTGAAAAGGAATGTAGGCTTCCAAGAGGAAATCCTTTTAGGCAAACCTTGCTTTGTGCTGCTATTATAAATCACGTATTTCATTTTAATGGTGAAGAAGGATGTGGCCACCTTGTCGTTTCTGGCTTGTCCCATAGATGATGAATAATTGCAGATGATTGTTCAATAGCACTGTGTAAAATGGATGGAAATTTTATTTAATTGCTTTGATGGAAATGATTCCTTCTTCGACTGCAGAAGAGAAATGGTAGTTTGACACCTTACAGTCATTTTCATGCTTCATTCAAAATGCAACTCTAAAATTACTCTTACATAAAAAAAACCATTCTCATTTCAACAGTGAACGGAACATAATGGGGGAGGTTCTTCAAATGATCCCAAATAACACTTTATTTTAATTAACCCTCATAAATCTGACTTCCTTCAAGAGGAATGAAATGACACCAGAACGTACAGCTTGCCCTCAGTTCTGGGACTCTCACAACATCCCAGAGGGCTTGCTAGGTCTACATCTGTGGTATCTGCAGTTTCCCACAGGAATCATGCACTCTGTTAAGCCCCCATAAGTAATAGCAACTATTCATAGCTACTCACTATTAGCAGGGTTTGACCTGAGACTCTAAAACTCTGTTTTACTTTTATTAACATGGAGTGTATTGAAACATTTTTTTTAAATAAAGTTTTCCCTTGACCAGCAAGGGAACTGTCAACCGGAGGGGCCTCAGCAACAGCTGGTGAAGTCCCTCAGCCAAGTACTTCAGATATCGTCCATCCACAATGACAGCCTGTTGGCTTCTGCCCTGGCATTTCTTTAATCTTCAGAAGTGATTTCCTGGATCTAGGAAACTTCATTTCTGACTCCTTTGACCCAGATGCCGGCCAAGGCGTTGTTTGCTATCTGTACAGAACAGTCTCATTTCTTCTTCCTAAGAGCTGGTTTTGCTGTTAAATTTCGCTAAAACAGTTGTATTAATATGCTCAAAAATCCATTGCTGAGTCTCAGATAAAGGATCACATCTGTTCATGAAAATCTTCTTCTCTGCTGGGTTGCAATCTATGCAGCTGCTGCTCACCGGATGGAATAAAGTTTTGTCCTGTGGGAATGAAAACAAACAAAAAGCATTAAGAAGCAAATGCTGGCTGATTAAAAACTGCCAGTGTGTTCCGGAACATGGATTAATGCGACGCTAGTCAAGCTTCTTGTAATTTCGTATAGTTCCTTTGCCCAGAATAACTCAGAAGGTGGGGGTGGGGGAGAGCTCCCTATCTATTTCTAGTGACTTGTCTGTAGGTGGTTGCCTAGGTTAAGAATTTTCTTCGATTCAAGGGACAATGAACTCTTTTTTTGCCCACGTGACATGCAGAGAGGTTCAGCTTTTCTCCTTTCTCTAATCATGACTCATGTTTAACACACACAATTACTCGGTGTTGGGGTGGGGTTTTTTTATCATGTGACATGCTCGTGGCAAGCACCTCAAACCAATCCAGATTGGGCTGAGTGGTAGTTTGCAATGTTCTAATTTATACCTGTGGGAAATTATTTGGATATCCTTGTAGCCACAAGCATGGTGTAATCCAGCAGCAAGAAAAGCACAGCTGTGGACAAAGCAGTAGTGTAAAAGAGCCTCTAGAAGATGGGTATCTGTTTCCACACCCTGCAGCACAGCGATAATCGACTCGGGAGGATTGCATTAACATTTGTTGAATACTCCTGCATTTTAATGGCCTTTGGTTTTTAAACAGGGAGGCCCTGCCCTTCTGAATTCTCCAGAAGATTGTTAAACAGAGCAGAAGACACTATGAGGAATTTCACATTACCCTTTTTAATCCGTTTTGAATTACCCTTTTTAACCTGTTTTGAAGCCGTTTTTGATCCGTCGTGGAGTAAACTGGTATAGCCATTTCACACATGGCTTTCCCCTTCCGGTAAAGAGGTGGATCTGAAGTGGTTTGCCATTTGAGACTGCCCCACTTTCCCCCCGCCATTTTTTGCCCGTTTGGGCGATCTCCGGCTTTTTTTTAAAAAATGTTTGCTTTAGAGATCACCCGCGTGGGCGAAAAACGGCAGGAAAATGCGCATTGGAACCGGGAGAGGTAACTGAAGACTACGTGGAAGCGGTTGACAGGTAAAACGCTTCAGCCCCATTTCCTAAACGGGACAGTAGCGTTTGTGTGTGAAATTACAAATATATTCCGGTAGGGAACCAGTTCTAAAACGGTTCTGTCTGAAATGACAGACCAGAAACCGTTTGGGAACCGTTCCTCTTCCGGATTATATCGTCTGTCTGAAATTCCTCTATAACTTTGGAAAACCAATTAAGTTTCGAGGTCTGACACATTCAATTTTATTTTATTGGTATTTTTTATTTTTCATATGTGCATGTGTATGTGCATGTGAGTGTATGCACCCCTGGAAGTCATGGTGTCCTCTGGTGACTGACCCCTACTGGGGGCCTTGAGGATATTCAGAGAGGTGGCTGAGTAAAGCCTTTCCTCGCCTCCCATCTGCTGGTATTCCAAGGAGGTCTCCCATCCAAGTACTTGCCAGAGTCGACCCAGCTTAGCTTCTGAGATCTGACAAGATCGGGCTTGCTTGGGCTATCCAGGCCAGGGCACATTCAGTTTTATCTTGTGTGGTACACAGTGCTGTCCTAAGCAGAGTTCTGCTCTCCTATGCCCATTCACTTCAGCAGATTAAAAAAGGCTGTAACTCTGCTTAGGAAGACATGATACCACCTGTTGTCCAAATGCCACAAGGTCAGCCAAGCTGAAACATAATGCAAAGCTACAGATGCTTTTACCCACCATTCCTTCTCTCTGCTGGCTGGAGTTTACTCCTGAAAACCTCTTAAGGAAAATATAGCATGACCACGGGGTCCAAATGAACAATGCTGAACAGAAGCAACAACGGAAGGAGATGGCAGACAGGATGTCGATGAGGGAATATCTGATTTCTAGTTTACACCAACCCCGATTCCGGGTTTTTGTTGGGCAAATCAGGTTAAAGCACACTGCCTTAAGTTTCCCCAAAGAGAATCTCTGTGACTAGGATGCTATCAACTGTGAATGCCAATACAGATGTTTTTTCCTCCCCAAAACTGATGCTGAGGTTCAGTGGAGCCTTATGGACAAAATGCTGTGCAACACCAGAGGCTGCACTGAGGGAACTGAGTTGGGCAAAATCACCCTAACTTCCTCTCCTGCAGTCGAAGGAAGCATGATGGGGGGGGGGATTTTATGGCTGTCCTGATACTCAGCATGAGTTTTTTTGGTGTGTGTGTGTGTGTGTAATGGGGCTACAGTGGGGAAAGGGTAGAAAAAGACAGTGAGCCTCTTCCCTTTATGGGTTACAGGATCCAAACCAACCTATTTCATGGGTTCTTTCACAAGCATGCTTGCAGATCAGGATTCCTCATCCTTTGATTAGTCGTACGGGAGTGAAAATTAGTGTTTGTGTGAATGTGAGTTGATAAAAAACATTCTGTTTCTGGTGTTTGATCTGTGATGGCTCATTTGCACATGCATGCTGCAGACATGAAGGGTAACATGAATGGCTAATATTTTCTTATGTACTCAACAAATGAGTGGGGTTGACTGGAAATCTGCTTGTTATTCTGTAATACATTGTTGATGTTTAGTCCTTTCCATCTTGCCTCACAAGCCTGACTGGCTATCCTGTACACTCAAATCCCTTGCAGTTTTATAGCAACCATATTAAAGCTGTACCATGTGGCATTACAGGAAGAAGAGTGTCTAACTTATGTATATTAGTTTATTTAGTAAATTGTTATTCCACCTCTCCAGGAACCTGACTGAAGTGGCTTACAGAATAAGAATAATACTAACAAAATATTAAAAAAATTAAAACCCAGTATTAATTAAGATCATCCCAATATAAAAATGCAGACCATAAAAACAGACCACTGACAGCTTAAAATGACAGTTTCCAGAATTTATAAAATAGTATTACAATGTCAACTGCTTAATTAAAAGCTTGGGCAAACATAAACGTTTTGGCCTGGCATCTAAAAGAAAGCAGCACAGGCACCAGGCAAGCATCAAGGGAAAGGGGATTCTGCAAATGAGGCCTACTCAGTAGGGTGCTGGAGAAGACTCTTGAGAGTCCCTTGGACTGCAAGAAGATCAAATCAGTTAATCCTAAAAGAAATCAACCCTGACTGTTCCCTGGAAGGCCAGATAATGAAACTGAAGCTCAAATACTTTGGCCACCAAATGAGAAGGGAGCACTCACTGGAGAAGACCCTGATGCTGGGAAAGACTGAAGGTCAAAGAAGACGGGGACGGCAAAGGATGAGATGGTTAGACAGTGTCATAGATGCAACGAACATGGAATTGAGCCAACTTCAGAGGACAGCGGAAGACAGGAGGGCCTGGCGGGATCTGGTCCATGGGGGCGCAAAGAGTCGGACTCGACTGTGCGACTGAACAACAACAGTAGCTCTTGAATAAGGAATGGTGAAATGATCTGCAGTAGATGCTTTCCCGCACTATATAGGAACGAGCATAGCAGTTGCACTTGTGACTGTGCTGACCTGCAGCACAGATGGATGAGCTGCAAACTTATGGCTGTCTCATCGATTTCAGTAGGACTTAGGTGCAAACAGCTTTCTCAAGATCTGACCCCAGGGTATAACGTAAGTTGTCTTAGAGAATGGTCAGTTTCTGAGAATTAAAAAGACAATGAGGGGAAAATACTTTATTTCAGGAAATGAACATGTGAATTTTAAGACAGCCTGTGTGTCTTTCCAAACACTGTTTAAAAACAAATCAATGTACACACGCCAGTTGCAACATGTTTTTGGCACTGTACTTGCAAAACCCCCCCCCCACAGTTGACTTTGATAAAAGCAGAATGAAGCCCATTAGGATTAGCAGCAAACTGTGAGCCTCAATATAATTTGCCATTACACTGCAGCAATAAAAGGTGTGAAGAAATGATGAGCGGACTCCTGTAAGTTTTACTCATTTCTGGGAAGGGCAAAGAGACTTTTGTCTTCCCTTTCTTTTTGCAAGGGAGTCAAATTATTTCAGAAAGATAACCTTTCCCAGAAGATAATGGAGCTACAGGCAAGCCTGGGCAGTTCACATAATTGGTAATGAGACAAAGCTCCTTTCCCTTCATCTAGGTCATTGCTTTAACTACGGCCAAGGTCAGTAGTCAACGAAAGCCATTATCCTCTGATGGCTGCAGTCATTTCTGTGAAATGAGTTGGTAGGCTCAGTATAGTCCCAATAAGGCTAAATGTCCACATGATAAAACACACAATTACAACTGATCTTTGGCCTTAGCAGAGATGTTGAGGGTGGGATCCACAAGGCACTGCTACAGCCTATCCTCCAGACATTTCCAAAATATCTTGATTTAATGGGGCTGGATGGAGGAATGTATGGGTTTAATGCTTTAGTGGCATTGCAAATGAAGACTGGAATGTGCCTGGAGGCTCCATGGCCCCCTGAGCCACTTACAGAACCTTCATGATTGGAACGCCTCATGGTGTCTGCTCTACTCCCATTTCCCTCAACATTCAAAGCAGAAGTATTCCACACAGGAATTTGATTATGCAAAAGTAAGAAACTGTGTGGAAACCACTTTCTGTAGGCAACAAGAAATTGTGTGGAAATCATCTGCTACAGATAGCCTTAATATTTAGAAGACTGCCTTAAATATATATGGGGAGTCTGTAGAAAGAATTGTGGTGGTGAAGCAGTCCTGACCTGAATAGTCTCTCCCGTATTGGTGCTTGTGGGAAAACTGTCACTGACTTTGGCAAGGGAGGAGTACAATTTCAGTTAGTCCCTTCCTGTGAGAATTCTTACTGCCATCATGTCCCTGAGTCAACTTTCCCATGGCTACTTAATAGGACTTTACTGGGTACAGAGTATCCTTCAGTTCTGTAGGCTGCCCAAGAAGGCTCAGGCAGTGAGTTGAACCCACACACACAAATGCTCATCACGTGAAGGATTTATTTTAGGACAAAATGCACATATATTATGCATTCAAACTTGAGGGGAAATGATTGGCTTTTATTAATACTTGTTGTGGCTTGCTAAATTAATACAAAAAACCCCCTTA